AAGGGGGGCGGGTGGGTGGGGAAAAACAAAGTGGCTTTTTCAGTTTCAACGACAGCAACTTCTTTGTCTGGTTTCGTTGAGCGTTTCCCTCCAACTTTTGGGCTACGGGGTCCTCTTTGGAACTTTCCTTCCTTCCGATGAAACTCACAACTGGGGTCAATTCGTGAGCCTTGCAAGCACAAGACACACCCCCTCCTCTCTTTTATGAACCAGTTTCACCTCGGGTCAGACATTTAGTCGTAAAACCCCATTCCCAAATGCAAAATCTTCTCCCTGTTTAACCCTTTACTCTCTTTCATCTTTGCAGACAAGGAGAGATTATAGTGACTAGGACTTTTCAGCTTAGAAAAGAGGGAATAGGAGAGAGGTCTATACAATCATGAGTGGTGTGGAGAAAGTGAATAAGGAAAAGTTATTTGCTTGCTCCCATAATATAAGAACAAAGGGCCACCCAATGAAATCAATGGGTGGCGGGTTTAAAACAAACAAAGTTACACTCTTCTTCGCACAGTTAACCTGTGGAACTCCTCGCCTGAGGAATTGGTGAGGTTAGGATTATAACAGGGTTTATAAGAGAACTAGATACATTCGTGGAGGTTAAGTCTATTATAATAGCATAATACCCAGAGATACACCTATTTCATAGAATTGGAAGGGACCTTGAGATAATTGAGACTAATCCCCTGGCCCCACAGCAGGACTAAGTACCACCCTTGACCAATTTGCCCCAGGACCACTAAATGTCCCTTTCAGGGGCTGAACTCACAACCCAGGGATTAACAATCCAATGCACAAAGCACTGAGCTCTCCTTCCCTCGCGTTACTGGGGGTGGGTAAGGAATGGTGTCCCTCCCCTCTGTTGGTGATGGCTGGCAGGCGAGAGTTCGCTTGATCATTCCCTGTAGAGATCCCTCCCTATGGCCGTTCGTATGTTCTATACGAACAGCGAAGGCATATTGCAGCGAGTTGCATACACAACCTCTGGCCTATATATAATGCTTGTTTGCGGACAACCCCTAGTTTTGGGCACTAAATAGAGGAAGCATACCAGAACTATAACTATTTTTAGGTAGTTCTATGGGCACCAGAGTCAATCAGTAACTGCAGAAGAGAAAGCAAAATTAAGATGTTACTGGAAAGGTCGGAGGCAAAGTTTTCGGGAAGGAGATCCTGCTACTGCATGGTTACGTCTTGACTGGCACGATTTTCCGGAAATGCTTTTAACGGAAAAGTTTTCTGTTAAAAGCATTTGCAGAAAAGAGCATCTAGATTGGCACTGAGGCTTTTCCGCAAAATCACTTTTTGCAGAAAAGCGTCCGTGCCAATCTAGACGTGCTTTTCCGCAAAAAAGCCCTGATCGCCATTTTCGCAATTGGGGCTTTTTTGCGGAAAACAAATCTCAGCTGTCTACACTGGCCCTTTTGCGCAAGTCTTTCGGAAAAAGACTTTTGCCCGACCGGGAGCAGCGTAGTATTTCCGCAAGAACACTGATGATCTTACAGGAGATCGTCAGTGCTTTTGCGGAAATTCAAGCGGCCAGTGTAGACAGCTGGCAAGTTTTTCCGGAAAAGCGGCTGATTTTCCGGAAAAACTGACCAGTCTAGACACAGCCAATATGTAGTTGTAAGCATCATATTGGACTAAGTATAGAATGAATTTTACCTATAAAGGCTTCCAGCGTGGAAATAAATGGCCATTTCTGGGTTCTCTCTCTCTGCAGCCAGGGTTGGGGACGAGAAACGCCTCCATCTCCTGCCCGGTGCCTGCCAAGCGCTTGAGCAATCCGCATCTGGAGACCGGTTCCCTCCAGCTGGGAAAGCAGCAGCAGAGAAAAAAGGGGGGGAGGGGATAAGAGAGGCCGGTTCTATTTTGGGGGAGGGGGAATTGCTAGTTCCTATTCTGGGTTCTCTCTCTCTGCAGCCAGGGTTGGGGACGAGAAACGCCTCCATCTCCTGCCCGGTGCCTGCCAAGCGCTTGAGCAATCCGCATCTGGAGACCGGTTCCCTCCAGCTGGGAAAGCAGCAGCAGAGAAAAAAGGGGGGGAGGGGATAAGAGAGGCCGGTTCTATTTTGGGGGAGGGGGAATTGCTAGTTCCTAA